ACATACATTTTGATATCAAATTCAGTTAGAGCTTGTCTATACTTACAGCACTGCAACAGTGCAGCTGCGGTTCTTAATGAAGACAATTCCTATGTTTTTCCATCAGTGTAGGTACTCCATCACCCTGAGAAGAGGTAGTTTTATATTGATAGGAGAAACCCTCCTATAAATGCTGCGGTGCCTATTAGGGATGTGAATGACTAGTTAATTATCCGATAAGCAAATGTGGCAGCACCGCATGAAGCCTGGGGTCTGCCTCTCTGAAACGTCGCGTGGAGCCTGGGGTCAGCTGGGAACTCCAGCCCCTTTGAAACTCTGCAGGGAGCACAAGGCCCATGAGACTGTTTGAGTCCCCCTGTTGGCCCCAATCTCCCTGCAGTGCTTTCACCTTTGAAGTGTAGCAACAGCCCTTATCGACTACTTGATTTAATCTACATTTAACATCCCTAGTGCCTATGCTGGGAGCTAAATCAGTATAACTTCATTGCTCTGGTGGGTGGGTTTTCTTCATGAGTGAGTGACATAGTTATACTGACTTAAGCTTATAGGAATAATTTGTGCACTACCCTGTTGCAGGTAATTTATTACCCATTTGTAAAGCTATGCAAGTGAGACTGCTGGAGAGAGACAAAAGGGTCTTGCCTTCATTCCTGTAGTGGTAGAAACGCAGCAGAAAAAGATGCTTGCCGAATGGCTTTTTGCAATTAACAGAACATGGGGGGAGGGATAGCTCAGTGGTTTGAGCATTGGCTTGCTAAACCTAGGGGTGTGAATTCAATCCTTGAGGAGGCCATTTAGGGATCTGGGGCAAATCTGTCAGGGATGGTACTTGGTCCTGCTGTGAAGGCAGGGAACTGAACTCTGTGACCTTTCAAGGTCCCTTCCAGTTCTAGGAGATAGGTACATCTCAATTTTTTTTAATGTGTTACGAAGAGTGAAGTTTATAAATATGTGTCTCTTTTAAGACAACTACCTTGAAGGATTGTTTAAAAACACCACCCAAATAAAACCCTGGGTGGTTTTTTTGGGGGTTTTTTTTTGGGCAACTCAGGTGGATATTGGTAGGCTTTTTGGCATATTTGCTGGATGTAGACTTAATTTTTTTTCTTTTTTGTTTGGAAATAAGTATTACCCTTAGTCTGAAGCTTGCTCCAGAGAAGACTTATGTTCTACTGGGGGAAGAGAGGCCACTGCTCAAACTTATTAAAGAATTTCTCGTGCTCAAGTGTCTGCTGTTTTTGGGGCCCAGAACTACAGCTGCTGGTTTTTACATTTCCTTTCCAAAGCACTGGGCAAACATTATTTATCACAGCATCCTTGCAAATGATATATCCCTACTTTATAGTTGAGGTAATGGAGGTTGTGAAGTTGTGCCCAAGGTTATATGGAGAGTTGTCAAAGCTGGGACTAGAATTGGGGGTTACACCTTTCTGTTTGGCTCACTAGATGAGTCTGCTTTCTAAAAGGCTTAGGTGAGGAGGAAAGGAAAAAATCCCACTCGAGTCAGCTTAGTGAGGAATATTATTCTTCTTTGTTCCTGTGGAGAAGATTTTATGTAAGTCTTGATCTTGACTCATCCTTTGATCATGTAGTCACTTTCTAGAGAAGACTAGAAGATTATGTTGAATATTAGCTAGCAATCAGCAACTGCTTAAGATGGAAGCCATGTTACACGTTACAGTAAAGCAAAGGTAAAGCGTTCCTAGCTTCAAAAGAAACACAGGAGAAAATTCTCCCTTCTTTGGCGTTGATTTCACTGGGTATTTAACAGATAGGCTTAATTCTATAACAAATTGTCATGTAAATATCAACAGATCAAATGCAAAGGCTTTGTTGAGGAGCAGCAATATTGACGCGTCTCTGAGTCTGGGGATATTTGTGGGTGGTTTTTGCTATAGTAAGCAGCTTGTCAGAGGAGGACTTGGATGGAGATTTGCAAATGTTGATAAAACCTTCAGGTGCTGTTAAAATTGAACTCTCCCGTGTGTGTTTTGAATATAATTTTCTTTTTCAAAGCTCCACTTTCTGGCTATTTCCCACCCTTTTAAATCTTTCCCCTGATAAAGATTGTTCTTGAGGGGGAGAACAGGCATTGAAGAATTAAATACTTCTTTAAAATGTAAAGAGTTTCCCAGTCTGTCTTCTCCACATCAGCACTGGATAATTTCTCTGACTGTAAGAATCAAGTAACCAGGGCAGTTGATCTGGTACAGAGCAAGAATCAACTGCAAGAATGGTTTTGAGCAAACGATGTGCAGTCCCATTTCAGAAGCCTTGAATTGTCCTGGTTCATTCTTGTAGTTAAATCCTGTAGTTAAGCCAGTTGTCAGTAATAGGCTAATTTCCTGGTGAAACTTACACTACGATAGCACCTTGAATTCAGACTGCTTTCCAAGCTCTCTGTAGATGAAAACTCACCCGTGAAATGGAGGCAAATCTTACCATCCTACAACAAGAGAGGAAGTGAGAAAAATCCAGTGCATGTCTGGAGGTTACAGGCTGTACAAAGGAATGCTGACCCAGTGGTTAGAATGCTAATCTGGGATTTGGGAGACCTGAATTCAGTTCCTTGCTCTGCCAAAGATTTTCTGTGTGACCTTGAACAATTCACTTAGTCTCGCCATGCCTCAGTTCTTCATGTGGAAAGTGGGGATAATAGCCTTGTCTTACCTTATGCAGTTGTTGTGCAGATAAAGGTTAGCAATTGTGTAGTGCTCAGATTCTCCAGCAATAAAGACTAAGTGCCATCATCTTAAGGCAGATTGTAAAGTGGGAGGCAGAATTTAATCCTGAGAGTGCAATGAGATTTTCATTGGCCACAAGAAGTTGGGAGCACTATTTTTACATCTCGGAAAGACAGTGATACATGTAGCAGAACAATTATTCCTTTATCACCATGCTGGGGGATTGATTCAGTGTTGTTTATTGAATCACTAATACCTAGATTTTCCTTGGACCTATCCAAGTAATGACCTGGCCTGACCCAGGCCTGCCCTTGTTTAAGTTTGGTGATCCCTTGGTAGGATGGCTGCAGTCTATATGGTTAAGATTAATCTGAAAATGTATACTATTATTTCTGGTTTCATGTAACCTGTTTATAGTTCGGCATCTCAGCAGGAGTTTTAAAAAGCAACCTGCTATTTGTTACTCAGTGGTGATGTTTCTGAAGTTTCTATTTATACACCACTCTTGCTGCATTTGATTTCTCCCTCCCACTTTTCACATTTAGTCTTTACAATATCTCATCCAGAACATATCTATCATAAAATTAGGATTTTCGAGACATAAGACTGTGCACGCCTGTGTGTGAGATCTGTTCATCGTGTATTTGACCCCCATTTCAATTAAAAAAAAAATTGTTGGCACGTTGGATCAGTGTAACTGTTTTTTGTCAGCACTTCCATTTTGAATCCAGTCAGGCCTTGTTACTAATTTGGCTTCTAGCCACAGTAATGTTAGTATCAGGAAGACAGCTTGGTTGTACCAGTTCATAGTGGCTTTTTTAACTCCATCCAGTTCTTTGCAAGCCTCAGTCAAATTAATGGGGGGAGGGGAATCATGTTGGATGAAATTTATCCTGCTGTAGAGAGTCAGCCTGAGGCTAATGCCCCACTTACATCTTCAAAATAGCTCAATGTGTAGAAATGCATAATCATCTATTATAATAGGGTTTAAGTGAGACTTGGGTGAGGAATAAGGTGAATTTTACGGATCATGAATAATTCCCTCAGACCCCAAAGTAATCTCTTCCTTCAGGTAGTGATTATGCTGTATGAGAGTCCAGCAAAACAATAGCTTCCTTTGATGGTTAGGGCATACAACATTTCAGATACTCCACTTGGGCATGATGAGGTTTTGAAGTGTATTTTCTCTGTAAACTGGCCTACTAACAGTATTGAAGTGTTGGTGGCACTAGGATTAATTTACCATCATTGTTACACCAAGAATATCCCGAGCATACTGTGAAAACTTTCTAGGGAGCCTGGATTTCATTAGGTTTCCATAGTAAAGGAAAAGATACCAGCATCCCTCATATTTAATAAGAAGGCAATGTCTCATAATGCTTCCTTTTAAGCCTAGGCCTTTATTCCTGTACTGAAGGTGAGGCCAGACGTGGGTAGGGTTGCCAGATGGTTGAAACAAAAATACCGAACTCCTCCCTCGCCCCCCCGCCAAAAAGAAAACACTGGTGAAAAAATTCTGTTGAGGGGAAATAAAAGAGCATTAAAATAGCATGTATATATTTTTTAAAAAATAAAACAGCAGGGATAGGAACAGGGGGAGCGGTTGAACATTAAAACCCAGGGGAAAGCATTGCCATTTTGTGCTGGCAGCCTTGGGGAACCAGGTAAACATAGGGGTGGGGTTGGAGGGCTGGGGGTCGGGGCGGGGGAAGGCCGGGTGCTGAATGTTTGTAGGGTTGACAGGTGCCCTGCATTTTCACCTCCTGGCCGAGGAAAAATTCTGAAAATACCGGACATTTTAGGTGTCCGGTATTCTCTGAATTTTTTTTACCGGACAGGAGCAGAAAATACCGGACTGTCTGGGTGAATACCGAACACCTGGCAATCCTAGACATGGGCTGCCTCACTAAGTTCTGCAGGACATGGTTGGTCACTTGAATATTATACATAATTCTGGGATGATCTTGTAGTTAAGGCACTGGATTGACACTCAAGGAGATCTCTGTTCAATTCGTAGCTTTTCCATAGACTTCCTGCCTGACCTTAAGTAAATCCCATAATCTCTCTGTGGCTTAGCTCCCTGTCTGTGGAATGAGCATAATACTCTGCCTCACAGGAATAGGGAAGATAAATGAGTTAATTAAATGTGAGATGCTCCACTATTGCATGTTCTATGTAAATTATGGATAAAGATGGAACATGCACACCAAGAGGTAGACACATTTCACCAGGCTCAGCAGTTTAGCATGTGGAAATGTCTGTTCATGTATTTAACTTTGGCTACAATTTAAGTATGTTTTGGTTTTGTATACTCAGGGCCAGGTCATGGGGAGGCAGAGACGAGAGAATGCGTCTACTACAATGCCAACTGGGAGCAGGAGAAGACCAACCAGAGTGGCGTGGAACGCTGTGAAGGAGAGAAGGACAAAAGGCTTCATTGCTATGCTTCTTGGAGAAACAACTCTGGCTCCATTGAGTTGGTGAAGAAGGGCTGCTGGTTAGATGACTTCAACTGCTATGACAGGTAATAGCCAGCCTGGTGCCTGACACACCCATTTAAATTGCAGTTCAAGTGGAAAGGGCTTCAATTGCAAATCACACTTAACTCTTTTTGCTTTCAGTATGTAAGCAACAAAAGGTGCTTTCTGGGGTATTTTTTCATAGGAAAACTCAGCAGTTCTGGCATGCTCTGAAAAAATATGTCCTGTGTGATTGAGTGAAGAGCAATATGTTCTTCCAAGAGTACTTGGCTACATAAAGGAAAATATGGAGTTATTTGGAGCTGCCTAGAAAAACACAGATGTTGGGGGCATTAGGGTTTGAGATGTCCTTGGTTTAATGGGATTGTAAAGGGTTTCTTTACTCCCTGTCCCTGCTAGCTGGGCTGAAGATAGGATTCTGGTTTGGGAGAGATGGGGGGAATGGAACATGGAAGTAAATGTGTGTTGGGATGTGGAGCTGTCTGTAGCCAGCTGTAAGGGAGATGAGCACTCCTGTATGAAGGGTCTGGAGATGCATTTAAGGTCTTGGATTTTTAGAAAATATGGTCTTGTTTCATAAGTTCATGTAACATGATCCTATGTTAGTTAAGGAGAACAATTGCAATTACAAAAAAATTTCCTTCGTTTCAAAGTTTAAAGGAATACTGACTGCTAGTTCTGGCCCTAAGATACATAGTTACAAGAGGCCCCCAACTTGTGACCGCCCAAGTTCTGACCTCCCGCACTTATAACCATTTTTGTAAGTGCGGAAGGGACTGAAAACCCCTGATTTACGTCCTCAGCCTGCGTTTGACAGCGCACGGCACCTGTCGTAAATGAGGGTTTGAGTTACGATGCCCCCGACTTGCAGGGAACTCCTGTACTTTTGTTTTAGTACAATGATAGCACTCTAAGGTGTGGGCAGAAACGAACTAAGATGATACATACCCGGTTCTGTGTGTTTAAATGCCAAGATAATACTAATCCTGCTTTTTCAGGAAAACCGATTATTTCCAAATGAGTATTTCCTAGGTCTTTTATCCTATTCCTTTTAGGCTGTGTCTACATTGGTAAGATTTTGCACAAAATCTTGCCACCTGTCTACACTGGCCGCGAGTATTTGCGCAAGAACACTGACGTTCTAATGTACGAAATCAGTGCTTCTTGCGCAAATACTCTGACGCTCCCGCTCAGGGATAAGCCCTCTTGCGCAAGAGGCCAGTATAGACAGGCAATGTTAATTTCTTGCGCAAGAAAGCCTGATGGCTAAAATGGCCATCGGCGTTTTCTTGCGCAAGAGAGCATCTACACTGGCACGGATGCTTTCGCAAATATTTTTAATGGAAAAACTCTTCCGTTAAAAGTATTTGCGTAAAATCATGCCAGTGTAGACGCAGCCTTAGTGTTCTAAGACATGAGGTTTCCACCATTATCTGGGAGAGACCATTCTGGAGTTTAGGTCTCATAGGAAATTCTACTGTGAACTTATTTCCTGTGCAAACCTATTGAAATACATGGGGTTAAGTCAGAGCCAAATTTGGCCCTAATTCAACAAGTTTATCCTATTCATTGAAGCTGTTCCTAGCTCTAACCCATTCCTCTTAACTATTCTGCACCACCATATAGCTCATAAGTAATCCCTCTTACTCCTTCAGATATTTGTAGCTGGGTTATTTTCCCACCACACCCATCGTTTTAGTAGTTGCATAATCAATCTCCATATTCATATAGATTTTGCTCTTTCTTTCCCCCCTCAACAAATCAGTCCTTCCAGATGCTTTAATCATGTAGTGCTGATCCTCATGAGAAGAATAGGAACAGCTCACTACCATTTTCTGTGTTCAAACGAGGGATGTTAACATGTAGTTGTTTAAATGATTCATCGATAAGCCTGGGCTTATTGGTTAATCTAAACAACTATGTGCATTCCTTCTCCCTCCTGCCCCCCGTTGCTGCCTCGGATTCAGAGGAAGCAAGAGGATGTGGAGGCATGAGCCAGTGCCTGTGGCCAGCTGGCTCATGTGTCTGTGCAGCACCCCTCTGCTTCTGATAGAGAGGCAGCAGTGTGGAGAGTGAGGGTGGGAGGCGTAAGCTGATACACACAGGGGGCTAGCTTTTAAGATAGATCTCTGTGCGTGCTGGCTCTGTAGAGCCACCTGCCCCCCAACTTGCCGCCTCCCACAGAGACATGGGGAGAGGGGCCAGAAGCCAGTGGGAGGGGGAAACCACCTGCCTACTGCACAAAATCTTGCCACCTGTCTACACTGGCCGCGAGTATTTGCGCAAGAACACTGACGTTCTAATGTACGAAATCAGTGCTTCTTGCGCAAATACTCTGACGCTCCCGCTCAGGGATAAGCCCTCTTGCGCAAGAGGCCAGTATAGACAGGCAATGTTAATTTCTTGCGCAAGAAAGCCTGATGGCTAAAATGGCCATCGGCGTTTTCTTGCGCAAGAGAGCATCTACACTGGCACGGATGCTTTCGCAAATATTTTTAATGGAAAAACTCTTCCGTTAAAAGTATTTGCGTAAAATCATGCCAGTGTAGACGCAGCCTTAGTGTTCTAAGACATGAGGTTTCCACCATTATCTGGGAGAGACCATTCTGGAGTTTAGGTCTCATAGGAAATTCTACTGTGAACTTATTTCCTGTGCAAACCTATTGAAATACATGGGGTTAAGTCAGAGCCAAATTTGGCCCTAATTCAACAAGTTTATCCTATTCATTGAAGCTGTTCCTAGCTCTAACCCATTCCTCTTAACTATTCTGCACCACCATATAGCTCATAAGTAATCCCTCTTACTCCTTCAGATATTTGTAGCTGGGTTATTTTCCCACCACACCCATCGTTTTAGTAGTTGCATAATCAATCTCCATATTCATATAGATTTTGCTCTTTCTTTCCCCCCTCAACAAATCAGTCCTTCCAGATGCTTTAATCATGTAGTGCTGATCCTCATGAGAAGAATAGGAACAGCTCACTACCATTTTCTGTGTTCAAACGAGGGATGTTAACATGTAGTTGTTTAAATGATTCATCGATAAGCCTGGGCTTATTGGTTAATCTAAACAACTATGTGCATTCCTTCTCCCTCCTGCCCCCCGTTGCTGCCTCGGATTCAGAGGAAGCAAGAGGATGTGGAGGCATGAGCCAGTGCCTGTGGCCAGCTGGCTCATGTGTCTGTGCAGCACCCCTCTGCTTCTGATAGAGAGGCAGCAGTGTGGAGAGTGAGGGTGGGAGGCGTAAGCTGATACACACAGGGGGCTAGCTTTTAAGATAGATCTCTGTGCGTGCTGGCTCTGTAGAGCCACCTGCCCCCCACAGAGGCAGCTGGGGGGTGGCAGGCCAGAGCCGGTGCCCCGGGGGAGCCAGCTTAAAAGATGGCTCCCCATGAGCTGCAGCTCTGGGGGTGGGGGTGGGCAGATGAGATTTTTGGCACAGCCTCTCCGCAGGGAGCTTGGCTCTCTCGCAGAAGGGCTGCTTTCATGGAGCAGCTTCTGTCTGCAGTGGACCCAAGTTTTCTATGGACAGAGGCTTCTCTGTGGAATGGTGGAGCAGCCTCTGCCCACAGGGTGTTTGGGCCTCCCGTGGGCAGAGGCTGCTACTGCCCCCGAGGTACTGCCCCCGAGGTGCTGCCTCCTAATCACTGGCTGCCAGCCCTGCCCCCAGGGACTATCAAATAATCATGTATCCACTAAGATTTGATGCAGTTACCCAGATACAGTATAATTGAATAATCAACAGCCCTAGTTCAAACAGAAGTGTTTAGCATTACCAAATCTCCTGTAATAGCATATGCTCCCAAACTCAGCACCATTGTGACACTGGCATAGTATAATACATGCCTCCATGCTGCAATGCACAGGTTTTGTCCTCTTCCATCCTGTTACCCTGCATTCCAACAAATAAGTGTTTCTGGATCTTCTAACCCCATCCATCTAGTTGTAAAGAAAGGGAGGATGGTTGCAGCCCCATTAAAGCCTGTTCAACCCCCTCTACCCCTTGTAAGCATGCATGGTTATAAACACACTAACTCTGTGGCATGAGAACCAGAAGGTAGAAACTGACCAAATCTAGCTCTGTGGTCCAAGCTGCGTGAGATACCAGGTGTCGTCAAACAGCATAAATGGTGAAAGCTCCATTCTGAATTTTTAGAAATAATTTTAATTAAGTTTAGTTTCAATTCTGTTTCTTGAGTGTTCAGGTTGTATCTTAATGGTGGCTTTTTAGTTGTTCCGTTACAATTTATCATTGCCCCTGGGATCAAAGTATAAACAAACGTGCCTTTAAAAAGAATGCAACTGCATTCATGTCCTCATGGCCGTTAACTGGCTCCTCAGGGCAATCTTGTTGGGATATAGCTATGTTGCTCCGTAATTATGTATATAGTGTCTTCTGGTAAAAGGAGAGTCTACATGTTCTATCAATTTTTAGTGTCTTTTGCTTAGTAATGTAGATAATGGTTAGTATTATATGCTACATAGTGCCTTGTTGCACATTAAGGTTGAGATATTGATACAAAGTTCAGGAAATTTAGGGTTATTGTTCCTAGAGCAATCTTAACTCTGTCCTTTAATCTAATCTTTTAGAGCATAGATGTGGTATAGGACATTGTGTAGATTCTTATGTATTCATTCCAGTATTTAAACAGTATCTAAACCTCTTTTACTTGTGCACTAAAGTGGTGTTCCATTATGTGATCACCCAACAAATATGCCATAACATGGCACATGTGCATTCAAAGCTGTAGAAAAGGGTACAATTTAAAAATAAATCAACATTGCACAATTCATTTATGTGCATAGTCTCACTGGAGGAGTAGCATTAAAATTCATTTGAAGAGCATATGAATTACAGCAAAATGATGCACTTACAGCTATAGAAAAAAGTGTTGTTTTCTTCAACATTATATTTTACTGCTTGTTAAGTAGCACGTCAAGCTACCCAGGGTTATGTATCGGGCACACTCTGAAGCAATTAAGGGAAATAATGAATTGCCTATGCAGAGTAGGCTGTTTTCACTCATTAACTTAATTTCTTAACTAACAGATTTTGCAAAACATGCATTCTCCATTGAAGGCTACAAATACTTGAATCTAGTGTCATTTTCATTCAAATATTTTGCATTGCCTGCATTCAGGAAAAGGTATATGAGAATATTACTTAATTTATTGAAACAATCTTCATTTGGCTAACTCAAATGGCTAATGTTTCCTTGAACTAAAAAATAAAATAATTTCCTAGCTAAGATCTTGTATGAGAAATTTCCCCACACATGAAGGAATAAATGACTGAAAATGGTGCCATGAATTTAAAGGAGCCTTCTCCACCCTTACTTATAGCTATGTGCTGTGAATGCCACAATCAAGGAGGTTTGCATGGATTCACAGAGTAATAATAATGTGTGAGACATATGATTATTTTATTATTTCCTCTTTTTATTTTGAGGGAAAGAAGTTAGGCATATAATTTAGCTAGATTAAGAAATATTTTGATACAGTTCATAGTACACAAGTCTGCAATCTAACTAGTTAATACGCTGAAAAGTGTAAAAAAAAAAAAAAAAAAGACACGGAAAACAGGTGCTTGTAAACACTAGCAATATGCCCTGTGAGAAAGTGAGTAATAGAGATGTAAAAGGTTAACCAGTTACCCAGTTTAGTGGTGGCTCGGCCGGATTGGAGCAGCCCCCCGCCCATGGGGAGCTGTTCCAGCCCTGCTAGTCCCAGTGCACTGTGAAGATCCTGGTTAACTGGTTAAACTTAACTTTTAACCAGTTAACTTTTTTAATGGAATTTTTCATTCCTAGTGAGTAGTAGAACACTACTACTATCATTGGAACACCTTTTGCACTGACCTGGCAGGAAAAAGTATGTATGGAAAACAGATGACGTTTGTTTAATACCTATACAAGAATCTCATTAAGATATACAAAATATTGAAACAGTATGGCTAGATCACTGCAGTGCTATCTGAACTGGAGACAACTGAGAATATTTAAAGCTACAACTCCTATTTGTTAAAAGGCAGGGGTACTAATATTTAGGTAGAAATTCTTTAAAGCAAACTGGTAGTTACCTGAGGTAGGAAACTGTATTAAGTGCATCAATAAGACCTAGTCTTCATGAGTTGCAAGTAAGACAACCAATGCAGGTAGTTGTTAGAACATGTTAGTAAAATGGAAATATAGTTAAATACAGAAACAACAAAAGTGGGGCTGGCTCAAGGAGAATTTCTGGCCTCCTTGCAATTTAAAATGCCCCATCTTCCTGTTTATATGTAATGGTTTTTGTCCAGTGTTACTCAGTTACAAGTTTTAAAGTTAGATGTGAAGAACAAAACACGAAAGTCTAGTCTGGGGAGCTGAAGTTTCTGGTTGATACATCGTCAAGGGCTTTGACATTCATGGGGGTCAGAATGTTGCTAATGAGTTGAAGCTGAGCAGCCTTAAAGTAGCTCCCCCCTTCCAAAAATATTATGTTAAAAGAACTTTATTTGCAAAGTCAAGTACTCAAAATTAGGAAATTCCAGAATTTAGATTGCCCGTGTAACATTAATTTGGTCCACTTGTGAATATTATTTATAATGCTGTCTTAAATTACGTGATCTTAAAATGGTTTTTTCCCCCATGTGGTCCCAGCCTTGGTCAGTGCTCAGGATGGGGAGTACTCAGGGAATGGAGCAACTGGTTGGTGTTCTAATGCTTATCGTTCTGTTATAGATCAGTCTTATTTATTACACCATCTGAAGCCTGCAGTGAATAGGGAATTATTTGTTTCTTCATGGTCTCTGCTGAGGTGCTTTCCACTTTGTCCTGAGTGCTTCACGCACATATTAATGCATTTATCAGAGAATATTCTCCTGCCTGATTTACATCTGGCAAAACTAAGACTAAGAGACTGCCTGAGGCCATGCGCTGAATCGGCAGCAGAGGCAGAATTAAACTCTGGGCCATCTGACTCCCAGCTACGTACTTACTCCTCTGTACTACGTTGTTGAGAATCCATACCTCCTATCCACAGCTAGAGTTGGATGCTCAGCTCTTCTGCAGACTAGCCTTTGGGTGTCACAAGTTATGTGTTCCCATTTTCTGATACCTAAGAACATCTGTCCACCTTGTAAATTAAAGTGATTTATTCAGTGTCACACGCAAGCTGTGTGACAGAGGCAGGGGCAGTACAGAGTTCTGTGCAGCATTCACCTGCCTTAGTCACAAGAACATCTTTATTTTCCTGCAGTCCCCATCCTTGTCCCGTGTATACCTAGAACAAGAGTCCTCTGCATCATTCACTACACAGCAGCCAAATTCTTCCTTTGAGCATTGTCCATCCAGTCAATACATTGAATGAGGCAAAGGTCCAGAGAGAGAAGAACATGTGATTAAAGATATGCGAAGAGAGAAGGAAGTGTATACTGTTTGTCAAATTACTGGAATGTTCACTCTTACTTGAGTTTATACAGTCATGTACAATGGCTGCAAACTAGAAATCTATAGCAAAGTCTCATTCTTGATTATTCCCTTAAAAACAAACTTCCTAGCTTAAGAAATAATTGGTCTGCAGAATGCAACAGAAGAGAGAGAAAAACAGAAAATTCACTTCAGTAAGATATTCACTTTCAAAGACAGTATATATTCAGTTTCTCTCTTCCCCCCCCCCCCC